GGATGAGGTGTTAACTATGATCTTACTATGTATACATGTATTTCATGACTTATTGTTGATTGGAGAGGGACATCGGCTGCCTCACCTTTCTCAGTGAATGACCAGATCCTTCAGATCCTTCATGTGTGCCGACTAGAATCATGCTGAGACGAGAAAGGAAGGAATTAGGAGACGAGTTTGCAGATGTTTGCAGGTGTCCTCAATCCACTCCCAAACACGAGCGCCAATTTGGGACTGGCATTGACATACATGACTGGGGTGCTTGATCTGGGGTCCTAGGCCCAAACACGGGATGCCATCGTATCTGGGCGCCATCGTTCGGGATACCATTCTTTTGTGCCGAAGGTTTTCCGACAGGTCCTGAACAGCAGACCCCGGTCTAGCGAGCGATCCGGCTCCAAGCACGGACCCCTCGGTCGTTGGATCAGTCGGTCGTGGGAGGTGGGCGGGCATGGGGATGCATGGGGGGGGTGACATCACATGGCGGGGTTTTACATCAATTCCTGGTTTTGCTTGTTTGGTGATTGGTCGATTTTCCCGAACTGGATGAACCCCCTTCTTCTGGGAAGCGTCTTTTCTCAGAAATCCCGCTCCTGGGAGCCACAAAATCCAAGGGAATTGTGCCACCAGTCAACACTTGGGGCTTTGCCTTCAACTCTTCTTGCCAGGAGAGCTGTCCAAGAAGGTGCTGAGAGGCGAGGAGTATGAGGATGTTTGATGGGTTGTAGGGATGATGGCCGATAACACAGACTTGGATCTTCCAATGTTTGCAACATGTTTGCCGAACTTCATCCATCCAAACCAGGCAAGTTCGGCAAAAAACGGTTGCATACTTGAGAAGATCCAGGTAGATTTTGCCTAGGGTACATCCCCAAAAACGGCGCAATGCTCATTCAAGAGACTCAGGACGTCGTTCCATTGGATTTCTGCCGCCGCGGCCACAGAATATGAGGCTCACATTGTGAGACTCAAGCATAGCTTCCACAAGCATCCGTGTATCAGCCAGGGAATAGCTATCCATGTCCTAGCAGGCAATGCCTGAGCTATCCAAGCAGGCAATGCCCTAGAGATCCTAGAGATCCTAGAGATCACCTAGGCACTGCCCTAGCTATCCATGTCCCTGCCGGTCTGGAAAGCTGCCAAAGACCCTCCTCCTTAACATATCGAAACAGGCTGGTGGAGAAGATTTGGGCATAGAAAGCGCGCCTACTGCAAGTGAGTTCACCTCGACATTGGAATGAAAGGATGCTCATCTTCAGAAAACCAAACAGGTGGTGCCATCCACGTAAGCATGATTTGTTCAGAGAGTTGTTCTATATTTAAGCGGTGGTTTCTTTGTGCTGAGGCCATGGTTCATAGATCTAAGCCAATCTGACCCAGTTTCCTGCGAGACACCTCCACACCCCATCCATCGATTCGCTTTCTCAGACAGGCACCGAGCTGCTACTAGCAAGGTGCCTTACTACTAGTAACAAGCTACTAGTAAGGCACTTAGTATACTGGTAGCTTCTTGCTACTAGTAGTAAGGCACTTAGCTACTAAGTGACTAGTAGCTTATTGCCACTAGTAGCGACGCACTCAACTCGCCCACCAGGTTCCGGGTGCATGCAGCCATCCGTTTCCGGCATGCGGCTGCCTGGATTCAAACGTAGCCTGCGTCCGGCCTGCGAAAAGCAGGTCGTGCGCCCTCAAAGCGATGGCCTCCGAGCTAGGGAGATGTTTGTGTCGTGGAATATGGACATGTAATCTAATCTGTGCTCTTTTCGGGTCGCTTGCCAGGAGAACGCAAGTGTTCTAAATCAAAGGTTCAATCATCTATGTAGCGACTCCAGATTCATGAGCATTGTTCCCGGTGACCACGATTCATGGGATGTGTTCTCCGCCCAGATCGGGCTCCAAAACGGAAAGAAGAGCAGGTTGGAAGGCAGCCTTGTTCTTTTCGTGGCCTAACTAGGGCCTAACTGGGAATTTGTAGGAAGAAGGCAAGTTGGTACCTTGTCGTGGGAGCTTCTCATGCATGCGCATGCATGCCATGATCTTAAAGGTACCAGCTATAGGGATTATAGTAATAAGGATTAAGACCCCAATCCTGCCACAGTCTGAGAGCCTCTCTATGGATCCTTTTTGCAAAAGAACTGCAAGCAGCAATTGCAATGAACAAGTGAACATGTGTCAAATTGCAGGCAGAATTGCAAGAAAACTACACGCATAGGTGCAGGGAATTTGCCACTCAAATACGGCTGGTCTAGTCAGTGAAGAGTTTAGCATGGACTCTTAGGTTCAAATGCAACTGATTTGCTGAAAGTCAACTCACTACTCAAAGCATCTCAAAGCCATGGATTGCAAGACTGGGTTGGTGCAATGGAGTATGATGAGTATTCAACGAGTAATGAACATTCGACTAGAAGCAAATAAACTGCAAGCAGAAATTGCAAGACAAACTAAATGTTTTGTGTTTGCATGTGTTTGCAATTGCATGAGTTGAATTGAATAATGGTAAAGTTGAATGTTGCAAGAAAGCTGCAAGTAGAATTGCCGGGAATTTGCCATTCACAGCTGGTCTGATCTGATCAGTGAAGAATCTAAAATGCAGGACGCTTAGTCCAGCTCCACCTTCACCCTCCAGTGCAAGTGGCCAGCTCGACCTCCGGCTGCACCCTCAAGCTCAGGTCAACAGGTGTAGCCTCACCGCCCAGTGGGCAACTTTGCCAGCTCCAGCTGGTGAAGGTGGAGGTGAGGCTCCAGCTTGCTGAATCTTGCAAGCTTTGCCAGCTCCGGCTGGAGCCTCACCTCCAACTTGACCCCACACTCCAGCTCCACAGTTCCACCATCCAGGCTGCTAGCTTTGCCAGCTCCAGCTGGAGCCTCACGTCCAGCTTGACTCCACACTCCAGCCCAGGTGGAGCGCCTGGTCCCCCACCAAGTTGTAGTCAGGAACTGCAAAAAAGTTCTAAGGGCAAAAAGTTGAAGAATAAAAACACTTGCAATAAACTGCGAGGCCAGTGAAAGAAAACTGCACAAGAAACTGCAACACAACCGCAAGGTTCTGAGTCTGCACGCGGTTTGCCCGTAGTTTTCTTGCCGTGCCCCGTGCAGTTTCCTCCTGCTGACCGCGCCACCACGTGGCAGCACAATGGAACTGCTCGCAATCTTCTTGCAACTCTTCTCGCAGTGTTCTTGCAGCGTTTTTTTTGCAGTTGTTGCAGTCTTGTTGGGAAACACTGCAAGCATGAGGCCAACCATGCGCTCACCACAAGGGCCTTCTCGCTCAGGTGTTTTGCATTTGTTTCTTGCACTTTGTTTTGCATCCCAACCAAAAGGCGAAAAATACAGCACACGCGGGCAGTCCCCGTAGATTCTGCCCCTTGAAAAGCCGTGGCCTGCTTGAAACGCACGCGTTCGTGGCCAGCGTGAGCACGCTCCTCTAGCCTCAATGAGTGAGGCCGGGGCCTCCGTTTGGCAGAAAACTGCACGCGGAGGCCCCTTTTGTGTGGGATGTTTTTCATGCTAATGCTTTCACTTCTGACTCTGTAGACCAGTCTTTTGCCTTAGTAGCCTTAGTTTCTGTGTTTGTAGACAAAACCTTCCGGTAAACGGAAAGGAAGAGGAAAAGGTTGAATCAAGTGAAACAATTTATCTCCCTCTCTCAATCTTTGTGTTAAGTAGTTTGTTTGGCTATATCATATGCATCCTCCTCACTCCATTTGTCTTTATCTCTTCCCCTTGATGAATCTAACATAATCTAAACTTATGAGTTCTGAAGCCTGCACGTGAAGGGACTTGCTGAATAATTTTTGTATATATTTGTTATGGGTGTTTGTTTATACGTTGGGTATGATTTGGATTTACAGTGTGTTTAGCAGTTTTGTTTCTTTAATGAAGCCGCAGTTTGATTATGAGTTTGATTATGCGGCTTTCTTCACAAGGTCAGGGCTAGCGGCTAGCTGCTAGGACCTATAGGACAGCTGAATGCAGGGTTGTTGATTTTTATTAGTATCCATATAATATTCTATACAATATATTAAATTATATCTATAATTGCTTCCGGTTTCGGGGATCCTATTTCAATATTCCTGGTTGGACCTTTCTCTGCTTTACCTGGTTGGGGTACTTGGGAGGTCTAGGGCCTCCTTGTAGGGGCAGGGTGAGGCCTTTGTTGGCTGCTGGGAACCAAGCCCAGGAACAAGTGCCACCCCCCTTAGCTCACCCCATAGGGCCTCAACAAAAAGCAATAAAAAACGATATAGTTGGAGAAGGGTGCAAATCATAAACCAAATGCATAAAACATCCTGTGTTTTATGTTGTTTGTCTGATGGTTTGGGCAGATTGGGTGTTTATGGGTTGAACAGTTATTGTGTAAACAATAAACCAAAAGCACACAAACTACTGTGTGTTTTATTGTTGTTTAATGCTGTGGGCAGAGTGGGAGGTTTATGTTCTTGTTTAACATAAAATTTAAGGGGGCTCCAGAGCTCCAGGTTTTGTTTATGGGTGTACGGTTAGGGTCCGGTGAGTAGTCACGCAATTTACCAGCCAGGCAAATTTTGCCATACAACGTAGCTGAGAAACCATCCAACGGGATATTGGAAACGTTTGAGCCAAACACAAGAGCAGCCATACGCCCAAAGCCTGGAGATATAGAATGGGTTGACTGTTTCATTGTCAAGAAACATACCTATACATGGGAGATTCTAGCTTGCCCCCAACAACACATTATGTTTATTACAGCTCTGGAGTGACTTTTGAATAAGCCAATTTAGCAATGTTCAATCAGGTGTTTTCATACATTGATTTTTAGCCTTGTCCACAACCGTTAAACAAAAAAAAAACTTAAATTCAACCTGTTAAAAAAGAGCACAGATAAAACAACATCTGGAATCTGGCCCCGTGCAGAGTTTATGCACACATAAATCTAAACATTGGTTTACTAGGTTTTTTCGTTGTTTCTTCTCTCTCTCTCTCTCTCATCCACCTCTACTCTTGCCATTTGTCTCCACTTTTTCTTGAATGGCCCTTGTTGGACGGTTTTTCTGAGCCTGAGCCCACCAGTCACGAGGCGGCTCTTTGGAGTTATTTGGCCATGTTCTTGCAGTTTCTGCTGAAAGTTTCTGCTTAAAGTCGTGCAAAAACTTATTTGACATATATATATATACCATTGGAAGTCTTAATAGTACCATTTTCCGTGCACCATACGGTGGTTGTGGTAGATACCTTCCCAGCCTTCCCAGCCGAATGGACATGTAGGCATGCAGAAGTTCCGTCCATGACTGATCCCCCGCCAGCGTTGTCAGTGACTTCTTTCACTGAAAGTCTGAAAAGTCCCAGATACCTCATGATACCCTCTCAGAAGGTCAGGCTGGGGATATAAACCTTTCTCAGGTTGGCTTTGTGTTTCTGCTCGGTCCGATGTCCGATGTCGAAACCTGCTCTCCTTTGGAACACCTGAGGTCCGAGGGGAATGGGATGCCATCGCCGCTCTGCAATCCGGAGCCGGTTGGGTGGGTGTTTTGTTCTCTTAGCGTCCTTGCTCCTAGTAGTAAGGCCAGGAGCCCCTGGTAGCGGAAGGTGGTGTTCGGTGCGGTCCGTTTTAGGGAAACAGCTGGGTCTTGCATGGGAGGAGGCAGTGGACGTGACACGCTCGGTTTGCTGCCTAGCATCAGGATTGGTTGGTTTTCCCAGCAAGTTTCGTCCAGCTCGGATTCTTAACAGAACTTGAGAAAACCACGGTGACGAGGCTGCGCAGGCTGCGCAGGCTGCGCTCACCGGTGATCGGGTGACCGGGTGAGCTGGCCGCTGAGCGACGAAGCGCCGAGTCGCCAGGACCACCTGCAAGTGCCGAGCATGGAGTGCGATGCTTAATGGCAGGTGACGACCGGACTCGTGCGTCACCAGTTGTCGTGCGTCACCGCTCTCCAAGAAATGGATGATATGTGTGTCTTTAAAATTGTTTAAAGTTATTCAAGACATGTTTTTTGTAGGATTCGTGGCCCACCATTGATTTCATAGCCGGGGCATCCCGAAGAACCTTTGTTTTATTGAAGATTTTACACTACGAAACCAGGTAGTGATAACTGTGTCCAATTCGTAGACCACTGGTTGCTAGCTTGATCTGCTCAAAGCACAACCTGCGAACTGAGGCTGTTCAGCTGCCGTCCCTAGATGAGCAGGAGACGAAGATGATCGAGCCCACCACGTGTCAACGAGTGGTGTCCATTGATCTTGAGGGACCTGAAGACTTCTTTTGTGGCTGGCCAAATCAACAAAAACATGGTGGAGAAAGCCAGCACCTGGAGTCAACCCGTTCGTACCTCATACAGTCGTATACCTGGTTTTGGGTTCGGGTCATGACTCCATGTTCGTTCGGGTACGAAGGGTCCGTCGGGTGCTGCCGTGTCAGTACAGATTGAAGGCTAGTATCCCATGGGCCCGGGCGACGTTTGGTCGACGCTTCTCCACCGACCAGCCCGGTCGACCCACAACGGGCAGGAGAAGATGCGGCGCGGTGCCTTGTGGGCAGATGAGGTGCCTGGCGCATCCACCTCCGCGGACGACTCCGCTGTGGTTGGGAGGACGGACGGAGACTTCCCGAGCCAACCTCATGGATCAGGACCCGAGACTTCCCTACATCAATTATGGTGTATTCTCCAATTGGGGAAACGTCCCAGGCCAACGACCAAGAAGGCAAATAAAGCCATGGGCCCCCTCTCCCTAATTGAAATAAGGATCATATTAATTTTTAGTACTAAAGCCATTCCCCAAAGAATCCAGTGTATGGAAGATTCACCCACATTGATTTTTGGCACATCCTTAACATTTTGGCAAGCACCCTAATTGGCAAATATTCCAGTCTGCTGGTATAGGGTGTGTCCCATGACCTGTAACAGTCGGCAAAAAGAGTATCATTATGTTTGAGAAAGGCCTGCAACCTAAGCATCATCATCCACTGCGGCAATGGGATGTATTCGGCCCAGCCCCTGGCTTGTTAATGTAGACTTTTGATTCATGCAACCACCCCCAATTGGATTGTAAAGCCTCTTCTACCTCCCGCGCTCGCGAAGTCTCGGAAACGAGCGATGCCATCAGCTTCCACTGATTGGCAGAGTGAACTGGACACAAATCACCCGCCCCACGGGTGTTCAAACCACAAAACATCACTCAAGAAAGAAAGGGGGCTATGGGAAAGTCCCAAAGGCATTGGCCCGATACCCTTTGGGCAATCACGACCAGTTGCTCGAGTTCACAATTAGAAAAATACGGTGCAGCTCCTCGGATGACCCCAGATGGCATGGTCTTCCCCCATGCATTGTGGTCACGTGGGACATGTCGACCAGGGTGGAGTTCAAAAGCAAGCCTGCGGCCCTGAATCCAGCGAATGAGCGACCGAAACGTGCAGTGTTCGTCTAGCAAATTTGCCACCTCGGAGGACGAAGAGTACAGCAATCTCAGAATACGAAATTTGCAAAGAATCACACTCTTTCCAATGGGCCTGCTGAAAGAAACCACCATAATTTTTCCAATCCTCAATGGAGGCCTCCCACTTCTGTGGTGGTTGTGCTGGCCAGGAATGACCAAATATGCCACTTGAAATCTGGGCATTGTGCATCCCAGGGCAGGTCGGGGAACAATTCCCTGGGGGTGCGATTATCAACATCTCTGTCTTTTGGTATAGCACAGCGTTGTGAGATGTTGTGAGCCATTCCTGACGCTCTAGCGTTGCACGCAAAAGACTGTGGTAAACCTTAGAAAAAATCGGCGAATTGGCCTGAGCGGCCTGCTTGGCTGCCAAGTCTGCAACACGATTCCCACGAATATCACGGCATGACGTGCGGCATGCTCTGGCTTGTTCCTCAGTGATCTCCTCAATGGGCAAACCTTCCAGGATGTGTGAGGGAATCCAAGTGATGTGTAAGGGGTCAGGGTGACGTGACTTACATTTCCTCCATCGTTGATGGAGTGCATTCCACCACGACCATGTGGTGTTTATCAATCAAGAAGTCTACATGATAGGTTGCCAGTCCCATGACTTGTCTCGGGGATGCCAGTCCCACTAGCCTGTCAGATGCCGACAGGTGGGCTCCTTTGGTCGACGGCAGCGACGTGGACATTGGCACGAGAACCACCGGTGCCGGGGATAGAGACGAGACGAGACGAGGGGATCGTCAGGAGACGTTTTCCGAGACGAGCGAAGGAAAGAAGATGAAAGAAGCAATGGCGTCCAACCGAAGACCGACGGCCTGCATAGTTACTAGCTCTTTGGTTGGATTCCAGTGATGGAGATTGGGGATCTGATGTTAATCGATTCCAGTGATGAACCTTCCGACAGGGTGAAATTTTGGGGGACGGCTTGTTCTTGAGGCACCCAGCATGAAGAATTCCAACTGCTCCAGAATAAGCGATTGAATAAGGACGAAGCCGGGGAAGATGGAGTGTGAGGAAGTCCGAAGAGACTCCAGACTCCGAGAACAAGAAGCTACTAGGGGCTCCTGGCATCGCTACTAGGAGCAAGGACGCTACGAACGGGGCTCCTGGCCGTACTACTAGGAACAAGAAGCTACTATGAGCTTTCTCACTACTCCGGGAAGGACTCATACTCTCTTCCAAGCCAATACCTAGACTCTTTCCCATCCGATGCAGAAACCTGAGGGCCTTGCAACCCTTTTCGGCCCGGAGATGCAAAGAAATGTGTGGCAAACCAATCTAATAATAATCCAACTTAAATTTTAACTAATAGTATAATGTATATTATATAGTTTGACATAATATGATACAATATCTTATATATTACAATATATTTATATAGGTTCATTCATCCCTATGGCTACAACTACATAATCATAATGTGGTTTGTGTGGTGTTTGATGAATCAACATTCAGTTCCAGGGGTCACATGGAGTTGGGTGCTGTTTAGTCCCATCCAAGGGGGATGTGACATGACCGGGCACCTAACCTCCACCCTCCATGGATGGCACCCAACTCCATGAAACTCCTGGTTTTGTTGTTCTTCCTTCTTCGCACCTGCAGGGAGACTCTGACCGATTGGTCGAGACCGACCTTGTCTCTCTCCAAGATCGAGGACTGCAGGGAGGCACTCGGATGGGGGGAGGACTGGCAGGCCATGTGAGTCCTGACGTTGGGCAGCATACTGTGACCTGACATTGGGCAGCGAGTCATCATCATCATCATCATCATCATCATCATCATCATCAACTAGTGCTTCGCGATGAAGATTTCAAAGACGTGGCCCTGGGATGTGCGGGCCATGGTTTCTTTTGTCCACTTGTCCATCGATGATGGGAAGGGATTCAAACCGGTCACGGTCAAACCTGAGTTTCCATCATCTCTCATTGCTTGAGGAGAACGAGCAGCCAGCATCCAGCCCGGCACTTGTCACATTTGCGGAAGATTAGTCGGATCGCCGATGGTGGAGAATCACAATGATGGTAATAAGGGAAATCAGCTCAGATAGGGATGGGTCAAAACTTGGGGCCCCAACACCATGGGACGTGAACGACCTGGAACCAGGTAGGCCAACCTGGTTTTGACCCTTTGACAGAACTGGAATGCGGAAGTTGATTGCCAGGGTGCTTTGGTGTGGCGTTCATCTATGGCCCAATATGACCCCATTCTCCACCGATGCGAACGTTTCGAGCCCGAGCTTCGGTTCATCACACCGAACCTCCGACTTATGGGTGCGAACCCTATAGGCGTCCCTACAGGAATCCGGGGGGGTCCTGGCATCCGAAGCTTGCAGCGCAGCTTCTGCCGCCGATATTCTTCGGGCTTGGGACTCGGATGTTTTTTGTTCTCGAGCTCTCTTCTCAAGTCGAACTGTTTCCAGCTTGCGAATTGGAGCGAATTCGCTGCATGGGTACAGTCGTACCATCCAAGTACCCTGGGCCGCCCTGGGCCGCCCTGGTGTTCGGGTTTGTCGTCCTCAAGCTCGGGACTTGGACGGATCGATCTGAAGCCGAACCACTTGGCGCTGAGCGCCATCTGCATACCTCCCAAACTCGCGGACCCACTTGGCGCTCTCCTTACAACCCAAACACGACATCGGGTTTGTCCCATGACCTGTAACAGTTGGTAAAGAATTCACTATTCGATGCAAGGGCCTTCGCTAACCATCATCAATCATCATCCACTGTTACTGGTAATGGGATATACCCAAGGCACCAGCATTAACCAAGACCTGTTTGGGACTGGACGCATTTGCCTCAGGGGTGGTGTTGCATCAAGTGAATCAATGGACATGGCGACATGGAGAGGTTTGGTGACCAACCAGTCTGCAGTCTTGTCGACATGATTCACATCTAAGGCCTTCGACAAACACGCTCATTGCCGGAGCTTCGCAGTAGCACAAGGACGTCTTCGTGGCGAAGAAGAGCTGAATTGCCTTGCTGGTTTAGATCCAAAAGGCAAAACTTGACGCCTGTGAGGGGGCAACCTAGTTTGCTTAATGGTGATTGATTATTTTCCCTAGGGGTGACTCCCCTGCTGGGGAATATGTTACCTTTTTCCCCGGCTTCCTTAAGCAAATCCAAGACAAGAGTTGAATGAAGACAAGAACAAAAACACAGTCGGGCTCCCAAATCCACCAAATTGACCCTTCGAGTGTTGTTTTGGAAGTCCAGCAAACGTCTCCAGTAAAAAGACAGAGTGCTGGTGGTTGGAAACATTTTTGAGTGGATGAAGAATCATGAGAAATCAAGGGTTGAAACTGAGCCACTGAAAGCAAAGAAACCGGCACTTCATATATGTTCCTAGCTGGAGCCCCAAAGTACCTTGGAAAAGGGGCACAAGTGGAGGCGCTTCTTGTTACTAGTAGTAATGGCCTCCAACCTAATAGCGATGGCCTCCAACCGTGCGTAGCTTCTAGCTACTACTCGTACTTGTAGTATCTGTTTTTAATAGGGCCGTGTTGGGTCGGGTTCATATTTCACAGATTTCACAGATGTTTATGCCAAGAATGCCTCGACAGAATCACGGGAACAATCAGCCATGGACGTGCTGCTTTTGAAGTATTACAATCACAACCCTTTGAAAACAGCTGAGAAAGTGTCGATAGACCTACTGAAATCTTTGGGGCCTTGTTGCGCACGCCACCTTGCGACCATTTGAGCCCCTGTTTTTTTGGCCCCGACTCAGTCTATCTGGCCCCGACTTGGTCATCTTGGTCCGTACCCCGGGACTAAAATGGTACCCAACAAATCAACACTTGGTAAATTACAGTGGTTTCAGAATAGATGGCACTGGCACCACACCCAAGATGTCTTAGACAGATGGGGATCCACGGGATCCATATAAACCACCAAAAACTTGGGTAACTTGTGCCATCTACTCTCAATCCACTATAACATAAGTATCATCTTCTGACACCTTCGACCCGAAAGGTCAGATCCGACCCTTCCAGCCGTTTGCCGTCCGTCTTGACAGGAGTGACGAGCTGGAGCAGCTGGGCGAAAGGGTTGGAACCGGAGTCGCACCGAATTCCGGAGATCCGCCGAATTCGAAATTCGATCGGAGTCGATCTGAAGATGTCGAGACATTATGCCCAAATTGATCAAGAGGTCACCTCATGATCCTCATGATCACTTTGAAGGTTCTGAAACCAATGGGTATAGTTCAAATAGGGAGACCGACCGAGACCAGGCGTTTTTTCGACCCCCCTGCTTAATTAAGCTTCGGAAAACAGACCAGTCTACCGGGCGAGAAAGGGGATCCCCCGGTTTTGTACATGTCTCCACAGCTGGGCCAAAATGAGTTCGAACGAAGTCTGAACAAGATTTCCCATTGATTCGTGTTGCAATGCTGCAAGTCCAACCCACTTGTTGAACTTTGCCTCTTCTTTCCACCCGCAGAACATCCATTTGTTCTTGGTTCCAAACCGGACAGTGATCGCTGTTTTCCGTCGTTCTCAGGTCGCTGTTCCCGTCGGCGCCTTTGAACTTTGAGGAGGTCTTGTCGATGACCAAGGCGAAGGTGGCCGATACTACCTCCCAGGCGCTCGACTCGGCTTGTGGGCTGCGGTTCGCATGGGGATTGACCAATGCAAACCGAGCATTAACAGAAGAGGTGACCGAGGAAGGTCCACCTACCAGGCTGAAACCTGCAACCCAAGTGCCATGACCCACCAGATCCAACCGTGGAAGGGGAAGAAATACCAAGTTGACCACAAACCTAGTGGAACACACACTTAGATAAAGGCTCGCAAGAGCAGTATCAGTTGTGATCCTCCACTCTAGCGATTACAATACCGGTTTAGAGCGCTGGATACCTGACACCTGAGAAACAGCCCTGAAAGGAACAGAAAGGCGAAGAGTCGGCAACAATATTGTTTAAAACATAACTGGTGAAGAAGCAGGTGCAAGTGGTTGATCAGACCACTCATCCACCAAAATGCCACAACTTCGTTGGACTGGATAGGCAAATCGGCTTCAGTCCCCCTGCAATCGGTTGCATGCATGTCAAAGGGACGAATTAAAGGCCTTAGTGTGATCTGAGTCCTTGGAAACAGGTGTTGACACACACACACACACACACAAAAAGCCGGAACGGCGCGCCCTCTTTTCTCTGCAGGGAGGGGAGGGGAGGGAGAAGGGAACGAGCCTGGATGTCCACCTAACAAGCCTGAAAGAAAGAACAAAACAATCGAAAAAGGCAAGGAAAAAGAAGGAAAGGTGCAAGGGGGTGCGGGGGTGTGGGCAGGGCGTGCGTTGACTAAACGCGCCTAAGCGCCGACCTAACAAGCCTGAAGGAAAGCCCAAGCAAACGAAAAAAGCAAGGAACGAAAGGTGCGAGGTGTAGGGTGGGGGGGGTTTGGGGGTCCAGGCCCGAAGGCATTAACAAGAAGCCGAAGTCGGCGCACCCTTGCCAAAAAAGCCTTGGTTACATCTAAAAAGCCTCCAGAAAACGAAAAGGACCTAGAAAACGAGGAGCAACCGCAGGAAAGAAAAAAACAAAAGTGACTTCCTAGCCGTCCTGCCTTGTTTTTTTCTAGCAGCGTGATATGGCCTTCTTTTGAAGTAATGTCAGTGAGCCCTGCGGCGTATGATCAGCAATCTCGAGCAAAGCACTATAGCCGGTGAAGTTCCAATGCAAGACGAAGAATCCTGAAAGGGTCACCCGTAAGGGCATGTGCATATGCGGCGCCCCTCGCGGGGGATCACACCACAGCCCACAGTGGGACTCTGTGACGAGACACACTTAGATAAAGGCTCGCAAGAGCAGTATCAGTTGTGATCCTCCACTCTAACGATTACAATACCGCTTTAGAGCGCTGGATACCTGACACCTGAGAAACAGCCCTGAAAGGAACAGAAAGGCGAAGAGTCGGCAACAATATTGTTTAAAACATAACTGGTGAAGAAGCAAGTGCAAGTGGTTGATCAGACCACTCATCCACCAAAATGCCATAGCCTTTTTGGACTGGATAGGCAATTCGGCTCCAGTCCCCCTGCAATCGGTTGCACGCAAGGCCTTAGTGTGATCTGAGTCCTTGGAGTTGACACACACACACACTCACTCCATCGATTCTGCTCACGTTTTTCTACCAGCAGATGCTGGATGTCAACTTGAACTTATACTGTCTTCACTCACTTGCTCCTTGAGCGCTAGGCCCTAAGTCTTCGCCGGCAGACCTGGTTCTTTCATCTTGGGACGCTAAGTCGGGTGGGTCCCTTTTGACACGCTGCCAGGACCGGGGGGCAATTGAACGCCTCCGCATGGAGACACAACGCTTTGGAGAAGCGGCCACCTCGACGAAAGATCGGCAGATTTGGGAGAAGGCCATTTTGAGCTTTTGCAGGGAGCCTCCAATCCAACTCGTTTTGTTGATGCAAACTAGTATTTCAGCTTGGACAGTCCCATGTCTGGGTGTGTCTCAGCACCAGGAGCTGTCGGCATAAGACAATACGTGACAATACATATCAATACATTAATGTCTACAAAGGTCTTTCCCAACCATCTCAAACCCTGTTCGAAGCAAAAAGTCTGGTTCAAACTGCCCAGTCCCAACCACTTGTGATGTAAGGATCTCAAGAAAACCATAATAGAACAACCACCTGGACCCTGCTTCATATACCCTAGAAAATGGGACATAAGCCTATTAAAACAGGTACTTGTATACCCACTTTCCGAGGTACTTTGAGACTCCAGACTCCAGGTATATATTTCTGGTTGTTGAGGTTTCCAGGTCGACATCGTTGGACCATGTCGAGGGGCCCTGATGTGGACCCACCCGGTGCAAGCTTAAATCGTGCAGCTCGAACCCTGCCAGTAGACTCTACTTAGACTCAAGTTCTGAAGGTTGAAAAAATCAGTGGAGAACCTGAAACACATGTCTTTGCGGTTAGTTTGTCAGAGATCATTTTTGGGGAGTCAAAGGCACAACCGGGAAGCACTGAGCTACTTTGCTTGAACGCTTTTTTTTGAACACGAAACACGTGAATCCAAGTGTTTTTTGAGGCTTAAGTGTTTGTCACTCAAGTGTGTTGAACGACATTTGGTGACTTTGAAGCAGATTGAGCCACTAAGAGTGATGTGTTGCAGACACGATTTCCAAAGTAGAAAAAATACAAATGTGAACACCTTGTTGAAATGAATGGAAGGGCCCTGGAGAAGAACAGTGTGAACACAAGTGCTTCAAAGATTCAATTCAAATGCCCTGCATGTCATTAAAAATGTGACCAACAGTTAGCAGTTTAAGTAATTCCCAGATACTCGTATACCCTTGAGGTGGTTGAAAAGGGGTCAATGGGGCGGCATATTATTCCAGTCCCATGAAGTGTTTGGGATTTGTGGGTGTTTAGATGTGTTTAGGAAGTATTGATCCGTTTCGTGAATCCCACAATTTGTGGCATTTCAACATATCCCTACAAGTCAAAGACTTCATTTGACTGGAGATGGTCATACAAAACCAGTTCATCAGGAGGCAAAGTCGACCCGGTTTTGGGTCAGACTGGACGTACGTAGGGTATACCATTTGTAGGTACCTTCTGAGAAGGTACTTCGATCCCTAGGGTATCCTTGGGTATAAATATCGTAATCCCTAGGGTACCCAGGGCTATTTGGTAGGATCCCAAGGGTAAATACCCTCGGATCATCTTGGATTCGCCATGCGTGACACTCCGATCGCCCAGGCCATCCAACGCTTCCGGAGCGTGGCGACCGTGCCTGGGACACCGCAGCGGGACGACCGAGCGCGCGAGGGACCGGGAGCCGGTGCTGCCAGACGGAGGATGGGTGACACCGTGTCCGCTTCGGAAGTCAATCCTGTGACACATCGGAGGATGCGGGCGACATGTACTACTGTAGTTTGTTTTGTTTTTAGGGGGGTAGGCCGCGAGTAGAGGTAGGAAGTAGCTAGGAGTAGCCAGGTAGCTAGTATAAGAGCCAGCTAGTAGCTAACAAGTAGCTACTGACTACTTCGGACGCAGGATAGCTCGCACTAATGATTGGGTTCCTAGATTTTTAGGGACACTGAGCTGGAGCAAGCAAACCAGGTTCACCATGGATGCTCCGGTCGATTTGTATGTCGCTCCTTTCGCCCGTGAAACGCGGTAAATGTGTGCCCCGCGGACTTCGAGACGTGGGGAAGAACAGGGCATAGAACCAGGGTTGCTCGATGTTCAGAGACACATATCCAAACAGTATCTATCAAAAACCAGTCCATCTATGTGGATATCTATCACCACATATCTATCCCAACGATGTTTTCTTTCTTTCAAGGCTCAAAATAGCCATGTGCTTCTGGGGTCGTGCTTTCGCAAAAAGGCGACACCTGCCTCAGCCTGGTTCTGTTGCAAGGTGGAAAACAATTGAAAGTGCTAAGGCTATAGGGGAAACTGAGTCGATTGTGTTGCATGTCGTGCTCCAGATAAATGCACCTCCAAAGTATGCGGTTGGTTGCCCGGATGAGTGCCCCTATTTTGAGACAGGCTCCGTCAATGTATTGGCTTATGATGGCTTTTGCTACAACCCAGGCACACGAAGATAGCTGATTGCCTATGCTTCATGAACCGTAATCCTATAAGTGTTTGAAGGGTTGCAGCTTATGAGTGATGTTCAAGCCTTTGAACCTATACGTATGTATCTAAATACTAATATATGTATATATATATGAATACAACAGTATATACCTATAATAGGCCTAGAGGGTCTTTGTTGCAGCTTCAGTTCGTCCGAACTCGGGATCTCTACGTTGTCTTTCACAGACAGTTGTTGCCTTTTTAGACCGGAGTTTCTGAGGTGAGGGCAGCGGGGATTGAGGCACATGATGATTACATGTCTCTTGGCCAAGATTGCGTGATTTGCACACCTTCCACGTGGTTCTGCTTTCCGGTGCACCAACCTCTCATGTGGATGTGTATTCTAATAGGAGACCCCCAACAAATGGGGTTTGGTCCATGTCCTTCTTTCAGGGGGGGTCGTTGCGTGGGAGACTCCCCAAACCATGAGCTGCAGGGTCTCCCAATGTGTTTTGGGGTCGACGAACTCCCCTCACTTGCAGCTCCTGCTGGTTCCCGACCTTTGAACTTGCACCACAAAACATCGACACTCAAAACATGAGCCGGGTGAATCGGCCACGGGGACCGGCAACGGGCGCGGCGGCTCAGGCGACAGGCTTTCGAAGCAGAGGTTCGATCTCTTTCGTGAGAAGACAGAAGGCTGAGTTTTATGGAAAGGTGGCTTCACCCTGAGAGAGCAGAAACCTCAAGCGGGATGTGTTCCACAAAACGATCGATCAAACGATTTGGGCTTCACATTCCCTGAAAGCTCCAAGTTTGACTCCTAGCCTACCCCATAGGGCCAGTGGTGGATCATGACTTATCAGGTGGGGTAGTTCATGAACGTTCATGGGTCAGAACGGAAGTTCTGGATTCCTTGTCGTTGTAGTATTAAAGTATATTAAAGTCACATGGTCACAACAACCCCCAAAAAACATCTGACAACTGCAGCATGAATTGATGGTCACCGTTGCGTTGGAAAAACGGTCACCGTCCTTTGTGGATCCATTCCGCACGGGCAATGCCGGCGACGCTGAGGCAAGTCTCGAGCGACAGCAAAGAATGGTGCGAGCTTTGTCGGAGTTCCGGCCTTAGCCGAAGAAGACCAAAAGCGATTTGGCACAATTTTATAATATAGACATATATATATATAGATATAAATAGACCCTCAAGTAGATAGTAAATACGTACTAAAAATGTATTGGAAACTGTTTCTATCTATTTGGGGACCCGTATATATATATATACATATGGTACATATACGGTACCCTCCCCCCCAAATGTCTACCTCTTTTAGTCTTGATTGGTATCTGCGGTGTTTTATGCACATTGTTTCTGGTTTGTTTTGGGGAGCAAATTTGAGGTGAAAGCAGGTGCCATATATATATATATATACATATTTTTTAATCGTCCTCTACAATCGCTTTAAACATGGTTAATAATGTTTGATAGCCTACTGATACATACGCGTACATATGTGTACAACCATGAACTACACACCAATACCCAATACTGAAACCAAGAAAGGTTGCACTTGGGACATACGCGTACATACGCGTACAACCCTGGAACCAAGAACCAAGATTCACCAGGACTTTCTGTGCAATCTTGGTTCTTGGTTCCAGGATTGTACTCGTACATACATGTACCTGTCAGGAACGTAGTATGTGAATTTGATAGAAGTACTCTCAATATGCCAGTCAGTGTGAAAATAACTCAATGTGTGAATTAGATACATTCAAATACTAGTTAGTGAGATTGCAACTCTTCTTCTCTTCTTCTCTCCTCCTCCCTTCTCTCCGCTTCTGTTCTCTGAGAAGAGAATGGGAGGGAAAGGGAATGAAAGAGAAGAGAAGAGGAAGAAATGCTACTGAGATGTCATGCACACCAGAGAGCCTGTCAATTGTCAAGTTACTGTGTGGTTGCCACAGTTGCAAAGCATCATTTAATAACAGGTTCCATTCATCAACTCTCATATTGAAACTTGCAGTTGGCACAAGTCATCGTCTGACGTGCGGTGATTACAAAAATATGTGTCATTGTAATGTACATAAGTAATTATGTTAATTGTTGTGTTACTTTGTAAACTCACAGTTGTATAATGTTTAATTCAACATGTCAGGTGTACAAACCTAGTGTAATAGTGTCAACTTGTTAACTCACAACTCACATGGTCAGCAGCATTAATCAACTATCACATTTTACAATTGCATTAAATACAACTATATAACAGTGTGAGCTGTAGCAACTATATTTCTTATAAGCTGGCATAATCACAAGTGAGCCGGTCAATTGTAGTGTTTATTTGCGATTGTCACAATCGTCAAATAATCCATTCATGTATTGATATTGTCAACTTCAATGTGAGAATTGCATTCATCAATTCTCATCCTTACACTTGCATTAGATACAACTGAAGGTATGGGAAGGCTAAACATGTACATTGTCAATTGTCTTCATCAAATCTCATATGCACATGTGCATTGTAAACACTCTACAAGTTGACTATATGAGTTGCAGCTTTAACATATGATATTTTAAATTGTCATGCACGCAAATAGTTCTGTGAATTTATGTGTTCCCCTGTGATGTTCACAATAATAAAGCATGCAGGTCAATGTTCTAGTTGTGCAAACCCAATGTTTGTGACTGTCACACATGTATTATATTAAACTCCTATTTGGGTTGTTTGAATGTAATGTCACAGTGTAAACAAGACAAACTAACTAACAACTCATATAATCAGTTGTTGTATTCATCAATTATCATATGTGCAATTGCACTGAGTGCAACTGACAGTATGAATTGGAGTGCTCATATATAATAGGGTTCATTGTCATGTACACAAACAATTATGTAATATGTTTAGCTTTTTTTGTGTGTGGGTCTTCACACTTGTACACCATGAGATTCATACTTTGATTTGCAAGTCCAATGTAACAATTTGAGTTGATAATTTTGAGATTCACATGATCAGTTATATCCATTAATTCTTATATTTGCAATTGCATTTGATACTACTAACAATTTGAATTGGGATGTAGCATTGTTCTCCAATTTCCAAACCTTGGAAAACATATGCACAGCATTGGTCAGCCGTTCTGCTTATATTCTTGCATTTAAATCACAGGACAACACTGGGTAAAAGCCATGTTAGCAAACCAAAATGGTAGACATTTGGAGGGTAGCATATATAATATATAGAGTGCACACTGCACACGTTTTAAACCATGTGTCCTTTGTCCTCACAGGGTTTGTGCGAGGAGATTGCACACATACCAACTTGCCGTGATCCTCTTGTTTGGGAACCATTGTTGTTGTTTCCAGGTTGTTTCCCAGAACATCACATCCACGGCCCCGGATGGGGCTAAAATCCATTCCGACATGGAACTGCTGGTGGCCAGGGCTTTGATCGGGCCATCGGTTTTTCTAAAGATGATGGCCCAAAAGTTCATCACTGGAGATCTCAAGGGAAAGACGCTCGCAAAGCGCCTTTTTACGCGCACAGAATCTCTAATTAGGCATTGGAGGCCGGAGGCCATAGCTACTAGGTTGGAGGCCATCGCTAGTAGGTTGGAGGCCACTGCTATTAGGTTGGAGGCTATCGCTAATGGGTTGGAGACCATTCCCAATACACGGCTGAACATCTTAGAACCTCTAGACTCCACTGCAAACACCGTCTCAAGAGGTACTTGGAGCGTTTGGGACACACTTAGGAAATGCGTACGGAACTGAATGCCGCTCGCCACAAGACACCTAAGTGAAAACCTATAAGAGGCCCAGGACAGGTATATGTAAGGTGGTTTGAACATCGTCAAAACCTCAAAGGCCTCCAACTCCAATGTTGAAATCTCAAAGAAAGTGACAAAAGCGACAAAGGCGTGTCAAAGGCATGTCTGCAGAGCTCACAACCGATGCAATGGCCAGCGACTTGTTCTAGTTACAAAGGGGCCAAGGAAGTAGGTGGTGATCACAGCAGGTACGTTTGGCTGATCAGGCCAGATATCAGCACGTAGCTTGACCCTCTTCTTTGGATCACAAGTCAAGTCCGTGGGTGATCCCCCTACTACATGAAAGGCTTCGAGACAAATTACAAAGTCAAAGGATGCCCTGCGATTCCACGGGTTTCACACACAGAGTTCACCATTCACCAACGGCCCAACTATTTTCTTTTTCGTTGCGTTGTCTTAGGCCACTCATGGCCTTGGACAATCAAAGCAGACACACAGGTTTTATTGCTGCATCTCGAGTTGGAGGTTTGCAGAACCTTTATTTTGCTCATAGTTCCAGGGGAACTTTTCCTGGCCTCATGGGTTCCAGTCACCTCAAAAGCGCCGTGTTTGCCTTCCAACATTGTAGCAACAGCTGTAAAGTGAGAAGTTCCATGGCCAAAGGAAGACACCCGGAAGCCCGGTAGACTGGTTTTTCTTCCGAACCTTTCGCAGGGGGTTGCGGAGGTCGGTCTCCCTACTATTTGAGCTACACACCCAAGTAATCCCACATGTATGGAATGATGTTCAGCTGATTGGGCTGTGATTGTTTGGTCTTTCACAGGTCGCCATTCCTCATCTTGCACCTTCTGAAGACCTGGCGCCTTCTCGTCGCAGCAGAGATGTTCGATCCACTGGAGACGCATTTTGTTTGTCCCAATTCACTTCGATGAATGATATGTTTCTGAAGTGCCCCAAAAAAAATGTGCGAGCATGTGTTGGAAACCTGTGCAACATGTTGGATCCTTTTGCTTCGTCATTTGACCTTGAGGTTTGCCTTACAGAAGAGAAACATGTCGCATACACAGATTTCGTTCCCTCTAAAAATCCGTGCAGCAACACGGCCAAAACCAGCCCAAAGACGTGGATCCGGCGCAGCGCTGGCCAAGCCACATAGTCGCGATCCAGTTGGTCACAGATGCGTGAAAAAACAACGCAGGGCGACTGGTCCCATTGAGGGTGCTGGTCGCGGGGTGCGGGACGGCTGCCTCGACTTGCGAGATGGGCCGGACTGGAAGAGTTACATACATTGCGCCGCGACGAACGGAGCAGAGGGCGTCGCTAGACGCCTCGAACGGGGCTCCTGGCCTTACTAGGAATAAGAATCAAGAAGGTACTAGGAGCAAGACGCTTTGTTGGGAATCGTCACTGCATGTATAACTATTCCGGTAGAGTGACACTCCCAGTTCGGATGTTTCATGGTTCGGATGTGGTACGACGAGCCAGCGTTGGGTACCAGTCGAACACGGACAGAAATAGGTTCTGCAACGATCCGTCCAAATCACTGAACCAGTTTGCTATTTGCTTGATTGTGGATCAGCAGGGCGGTGTTCAGAAAAGAAACTACGGACAAGCCATATATACACGTTTACTACAAAGAAGCAAGTTTGGATTATTTAATTCCTCTAGAATCCAAAGGAATTGACAGTTCAAGCTTTGCTGGATGGATGTTCCGTGGTACTGCAAGCCATTCAGCCATCCAACCAAGTTTGACCCGGCCACTGGAGTGATACACCGCCAGAGTCTTCCTAACACCGGTCGACTACAGTCGACGCCGGCCCTCATGGGACTCCCCTGGCCTCTCACTCTTGAGCAAAGGGGATGTGGAAAGCTTTCGTGAGGGTACAGAAGGACATAGAAGGACCATGAAAAAAAAACCGTCTAGTTCCATTTAGACTCTAGGTGGACAGAAAGTACCAGGTTTGAAGGGAAGCTTTGGGTGAAGATTACCACCGCTTGGGCAGCCACCGCTTTTTGCTGGGTTTGCCTCAAATAGGGGAACCCCCAAAATGGCAAAGTTGTTTCTTTTCCACAGCCAGAGAGACCATCCTGCAAAGTTTGGGGGGGGCCAGAGGTGGTCAGAGACCAACTTTAGTCAGAACATCCCAGAACCACTGGCTGATGATTGCAATATATTGCAATATTGCAATCACTTGCCATGATGTCCAATTCATTGAGGTGGGTGGTCCTACTGCTGTGCTTTGTGTGTCAAACAGCTATGTCCAATTCATTGCCCTGGTTGGTGACGTTTCATGCTCTCAAGGTTTCCCCGGCCGTACAGTGCGGCCATGGCTGCCTTCTCATCTGTCCTGCCCAAGCAGCAGAGTGGAACTCAGCCAGCGTGGGAATTCGATGATATTACACAGACGACTAGGAGACTTGTTGCTGAAGAATCGAGCTGGTGTGAGTTGGTGATCATGCTAGTTGGTGTTCTTGGACGGACCTTCATTCATAGATTCATAGACATTTAAAAAAAAACGGTCCTCAGCTTTTCCAAGCACTTTCGAGATTTGAGAACATGGTTCTTACGGATCAGACGTTTTCGATGTTGAATCGAACTTCATCTCGTTTGTCATGTTCTTTCACATTCTCAGCTCCTGAGCCCCGGATGACCATGAGAAATCTGCAGGACCTCTCAGCCCAGGCGAGGACGAGGCCAGCACTATGTGTCCCATGAGGAGCCCACGACAGGCGCGGAACATGCTCCAAGTCCGCCCACCGAGTCCTGCGCGCCATTGGATGCGACGGCAGGACACTCGCCGTGTGCTGTCAGATGCCCGTTAAGTTCAAGGGAGGTGCATGAGGCCAAGGGCGATGGTGCCGAAGCTGATGTGCCAGATTCTGACGGACCAGTTTGCATCCCGGGATGTGTGGCTCTCAGAATAGACCAGAACGAAGACCAGAAAGAGGAGAATGAGGAGGTTCCTGACACTCACCTTGCCCAAACTGAAACCTCGCTGGGAGCGATCAGAGTCTTGAAGCCGGCAAATCACCACCAAGCTGCAGATGACAGTGGCTACAGCATAGTTCTTCAGCAGGTGGGAGAAGATATACTGGGCGATGAGGGCGATCAGGATGTTCACAAGCATGGCAGACTCTCTCCGATCCCCGAATCCAGAGGAGCCTCGCAGTCGATGGACGACCGAACCGGTAGCAAGACCAGCCGCATTGAAGACAGCAAGAGGCAGGGGACTTTTGGGGGGCTGTGCTTTTTGTGGGCTTACAGCCATTTTTAGAGAGTTCTTTCCGAGTTTCAGGGCAGGAGGTATTTCTGTGGTTGCTGAGATGTTTTCAAGGTATTTAGCGTGTTTTAGAGTTTCCTGAGATTGATGCAATCTACTCTTTCCCTAAGTAAGAATCTAGGAACCAAATGCATAGTGTGAGCGTTTCTTGAAAGAAGCTCTGCCACGCCCTCAGGCCGGGGGGAGCTTCCTTGAAGAAGCATGAGCTATCCTACCTCCATTCGCTAGAGTACAAGTTTGTTTTAAGTAGCCGCCTACGGGCAACTAGCGGACAAAAAGATAAAACGATAGAACACACACAACTTGCACAATGCTCCCTGCTCCTCACGGCCCTTCCCCTTAAGTGGGTGCTGGAGGGTTGAATGTACATCAGAAACAGAAAGGCAGCACCTCAAGGATTCAGGGGTCCATGTCATCCGGATTTCAGGTCTGTCGGTGGCCTCTTCAAATCGCGTGGGTCTCCGGGCTTGCAAACGAAGAGCTCGTGGAGCTTTGGATTTTGTGCGAGCAACGATGTGAGTCAAAGTCTGCGACCCTGTTCTCTTCTTTTTGGAAAAGAAACCTGCGGATATCTGTGGACTAGTAGTGACTAGCTGACTAGCAGTGACGTCAACCTGCGGCTTGGGGCGCAGGTTTTGACACCCATCCTTTTGGTAATTGTTGCGACCAGCCGTCAGCCGGACTAGCTTGTTCAAGAGAAACCATATATTGATATATAAATATATTGTATGTAGAACTTACTGTACATAATTGTAACAATAACAACATATTCTGTAATTGTTGTTGTTCCTCGCCCCTCGTTCCATAATTATTGTTCAAATTGTTCTTGTGTGTTATTGTTCTTCTTCTTCCTCCTTATTCTTGTTGTGTTGTTGTTCCTGCTGTTTGGTGTTTTATGACGTCTTCTATCGGGTTTTTCTGTGTCGGTTGCACCCCACAGATCGATTGCAGCTGTCACGAATAAAAAGGCCGCCTGGGATTGAAACTAAGGACTCGTGAAACCAGCAGCTACACAGTGTCGCAGACCCTGCAGACGAAGACTGGACTTGTCAACGTCCTTGAAGCAGCTCCTCGTCGACGTCCGCTACTTCTGAAAACAGTCTTGGACTAATGCATCACACCCGTGGACACCGGTTTCATACGATTTCTTTAAAGGCTCCTTTTGGATGTCCGATTGTAATTTGTGGAAGTGATAGGGGATTCACGAATAAGGATAGCCTTTGTGAATGACTTTCTATACTAGTCATTGCGGCCCTGGAAGAAAGTGTGCAAACAAGAAACGATATTCGCGGAAGGATCAACCAGAGACATCGCCACTTGAGCTCCAGTCTGGAGCGAATTCGATCGGAACAATGTGCGTTCACCCTGTGAAACATGGGGACCCAATGACTCATGAAATCAGGTGGGCTCCTAGCCTATACTCTTTAGACATGCCATGAACTGTTTTTTTTTTGTGAAACCAAGATTACCTGAATTGATTGGGCACATGGTCTTCTGATGGTCTTCTGATATTTTTGAGTTGAACAGCCACAAATTTGGACTTTTGAGCATCCCTCTTTCAAGGCCACTAGGGTTTGAATGTTAAAAAATGCATCGCCGAGGTCGAACCTTCAATGCAAGTGTATTTGGAGGAACATTGCGCTGATGGTCCAAGTACAATGGGCCGACAAGTCATTTTGTGGAAAACCTTGGGGAGCTTCCTTTTTCTCATGCCAACCCTGTCGTTTGGGGTCATGTTGTTACCTTTTGCTCCAGTTGAAGCAGGGTTTCACCAGAATTGGGTCTTCAACTACCTGGCACATCCAATCCTGAACTATATTACCGCTCGTGCTTATTTGGAGCTGGGTCTTCGCCGTCCCCTCGAACCCTCCGAGAAGCATCGAGTGAACTGGATTGTCAGATGCTTTCCTCTGGTGGATACCGTGGTGCCTTGGAGGAAGACAGTCGCATCATGCCATATATGCTCTGGGAGTCAAAGACTGTCAACAAAATTGTTTTTAGGTGACCCGAAAAGGAATTTCCTTTACTTCAGTCTGTCAAAATATAGACTTTGGACTTCTAGGGTATGGACTTGCGACCCCATAAGACCAGAAAGTAAGTGATCTGATGTTGTTCTCCACAGCTTCGGCTCAGCTCATCTGGGGCCACGCTGGCACCTGCCAGGGTGGTCTCTGCTTGGCCTTGCAAAGCTGTAAAAACAGAGAGAGCGGCTGGAGTCTTTATATATGTATTATGTCTATGTATATCTAGCTTGTTTGTTTTTCTCCACCTGTCAGGTGAGGGTTGTTAGATTTTATGTCAGCTCCGCCTCCGCCTCTGCCTCCGCCTCCGCGTCGCCCTCAACCACCAGCTCTGGATGGCAGTGTTCTCCGCCGGATCTCGACCAGCACACGGCCACAAACACACAATCACAAACACATAAACAAAGTCGCAAGCACACAAGCACAATCACAAACGCCCAATCACAAGCACACAACCACAACCACAACACCCAACCACAATCACAATTACAAGCACACACAGCCACAACACACCCGCAACACACCCACAAACACACAAGTACAATCAAAGACGCGCAACCACAAACACAAGCACAACCCCAAACACATCCATCCACAAACACACAATCACAAACACAACCACACACAATCACAAGCACAACCACCATCATACAACCACAAGCACAACCACCATCATACAACCACAACACACAACCACAAAGACACATTTACAGCACAAAGCCACAGCACACAACCACAATCACAGCACACAACCTGAGGACCCACAAACAAAGTCGAGAACCACAAAACTCACGACCATGGTAACATGCCCCTCACCATGGCATGAAGACAAATGATGGAAAGGAACGAAAACTCCTTAAGAGGACAGTCGCTCGAAGTAGAGGTATTTTTTTACGCCCCAAACCTCCTTATAAGGAACCTATACTTCATGTCCCAAAACATCTTGAGGAACAGACCGGAAGCGTTTCACCCATACCAAGAGTTCGTCGGTGTCCTTGCACGGTCAGCTAGTTGGAGTATGGCCGGCAACTGACAAAGCTTGGTGCCGTGTCACCTGATGTTTCTCAGTTCAGTTTCTCAGTTCGGTCAGTTCACTCAGATTTTTCCACCCGGGCGCCAGGTTTGCTTGTCAGCACACTACATCGCGCATATGTTTGGGATGTATCCTTTGCCATTCATCGTTTCTACAGTTTGTCTCCCAAGCATGTGGATCTCAATGATGCTAGCAAGTGACTTGACCAATCTCAAGCAGTTGTTTTTTGCTGTGGTCCGGTTGGAAGATCGAACGCATGATTTGCCATGAGGTTTGACCGACCTTGGTACCGCGATTCGAACGATGAACTTAGACTCAGGGGTCCAGGTCAAGGAACAATGTGCTGACGGGGTCCGGGGGGTGGAGGATGATGTAGACCTCTGAAATGGGGGTGGGTCGTTCAACCTGGAGCCCTGGTCCACCATATGTCTACCAGATATGTTGACCTCCCAGCAAAATCAACCAAGGTATCCTGGTGCCATGACCGACTGTTAAATCTGCACTCCAACTGATGAGTACGGAGTGTTCCTCTCCAAATCAGGTGAGGCAGCACTCTGAATGGAACCCAAAAACATGGCAGATGAAACTGTTTAGAACCACCAGCCATGATTTGCCAAGGTTACTTTGTCCCACGAGAGCTCATGACCCCCACTGTGCGGATCTACATGCGCTTTGCTAGTTTTGAGCTCCTCTTCTGGGGCGTACAATTCGTGATTCTTATGCTTTGGCTCTTGGTTTTTCCAACCCTGCCCGTGGCATTCCAATTGATGAGCAGCATTGCCAGGGACTCAGACTCAGATTCACATCATGGTTCAACCAGCATCTTTCCCAGCCACATTGAGGAAATGGTTGCAATGCTACTTGTTTTTCTTTTTCGCGTCCGGGCTGACCGGCGGCCGCTACAAATATGTTGCCCTTTCATAGGACACCAGACGTTTCTCTTGAGGTCCATATTCACGACTAGTTATAGAGCATGCTTTTGGGGGTCGATGTACCTTCAGTGTTTGGAGCCCTAGGAAGTCCAACACAAAGGGCTTTTGTGTTCAAGACTTGAAAAAAACCGTCGGCGTTGTATGGATGTCGTTTAGAAGATGAGAGAAGTATACAGTATATAAATGAAAATGAACACAGCAAAAGGAATAGATTATGTATTTAAATGTATAAATGTTGGAAATGAAAAAGAGCACAGTGATGGTTTTAAATTGTTTCTAAAACTGAATAAACATAACACACACACACTCAGTTTGTGGCAACCACCTAGGCAGTCACTGGTATGCTCTCTGGAGCTGGTTGGATCATGGGCAAGATCGGGCATAATTACCTGGGCGTGCCAGAGCGACCTTGCTGAGAATAGACTAGGCAGAGGTGTGCATACCAGACGGAACGAATGGATGCGTATAATGGTTAATGGACACCCCTTAACCTTTGCCAAGGGGGTATTATTGGGGGGGGCCTGGTATGGAGTATTTGAGGGCTTGGCCAAATGTGTTTGATTCCTGAGACTGTGAGTTTTTTTGGCTCCTAGGTAATATGATTTCACCCAATGAGTTGCTTTGTTGTTGTGTCCTTGCAACTGGTTTTGTCATCACTGAGGTTGCTTCAGAAGATAAGGAGTAAGTAGGACTTCTTTGTGCTGATTTACTTGGTGTGTCCTTTGTTCATGTCATATCAGTTCATGGACAAGTGGGTGGGGAACCAACTTTAAGTGAGGCGAACTTGATAGATACCAAACCCCGATGCTAGGTTGGAGGCCATCTCTACGAACCTAACAAGAAGCTACGAACGTCACAAAGGGCATCGCTACCAATCCGTGCATCTCACGAGCTTCCGCTGTAGCGTTTGTTCGCTCTTGTAGTGCTTGAGTCAGATGGAGAGAACAGATATGGGAACATCCAAGTGACGATGTCAGCTCAAGCGCAAAAGATATATAACTTGCTTTGTTTTTGGTGCTGGCGCCACGCCTTGGGCCCATTCACAGACCTGGTGTTTCAAGGGACTCCTGGTGTTTCTTGGTGCTCGCGAAGACGTGTTAACACATCACCAACGTGTTGGGCGGTCACATCGACTCGCGTGTCAGGTACATCACTGAAGAAGCGAAGGTCATCATCCTTTTCCTCGCATTTCTCTTCTCAGCGGCTTTGTTATCCAGTGCAAAGAATGGACTGGTTCTTTCCGTGATTTTCATTCTTGACGCAGGACACGTTCTTCTGGAGACAGCACGCAAGTCGCAGGTTTTTTGAAGATTTTTCACATGTTTGGCATTGATCGCAGTTGTTGAGAGCTCTTGTTTCGCATTTTTTGTCGACTGTTTGATCCACTGAGTCCAGCCTGGAAAGAGGAAATCCTAAGCCCTGGGAGTCGGTTAGACGATCAAAAGAATGGTCTAACTGAGTGACCCCGAGTCTAGGAATTTCCTGAAACCTGCAGTCGGTCCAAAAATTGTCGAACTGGACTTCTAGGACTAAGGATGGCTAAGGGTGATGTGCCACGCCACAACTGGCTGCAATCCTCGTCCTGTTTGAGTTGGACAGCTGTCGACATCGCATGCATTCGACCGCAGATCACGTGTAATTAAAGGACCCACTCCAAAGTCACCGGTCGGGGGCTTTTTTCGGGTGGCAAACCACCGGTCCTTTTCCGGTAGGAAAAGCCGTGGCCATTGCTCTGAAGATGTGTCATCAGCTTTTGGCGACCTTTAGACATGCGAAGGTGGGGAGGGAATGGAAAACGTCGAATTTTGGACGTAAGAGCAGAGATGGGCTGCATGCGTGCACAAATCATGTATTCAATGTATAGGCTGTGTACGTAGTGTCAAACTCTCTCCACTCTATAGAGGGTCCCTTTTTTCTTCAAGTCAGCATTGGATTGTGTTGTGATAAGGTGCCAATGCAGTGTGTCGAACATAGAAAGCTCAGGCTAAGAAGCCCAGGGGTAGCAGTTATGTCAATGTGTTTCCTTTAATATGTTGCTCTTTGTTTGTTACGTTTTCTGATTACCCAGAAGTATCCAGAAATATGTTGATTTTCTGAGGACAATTAGTAAGACAATGTAAAACAGTTCTTTGTCTACCTTTTGTAAGAAATGTGGTTACAGCTTCTGTAAATGTTATGCAATTGTGTTTGTTCTGATGGACTTTCAGAAATGCTTTTCAACAGCCTTGAATACTGCATATCGTGGCAGTAAGCAAATATAATATTTATGACTAAACTGCTAAACATGTTAGTTATAGATCGCAAGATATACAGTAACACTAAAGCTGCTTGCATGCCTGGAATGTATTCAGAAGACATTTGCACTCACATGCTCAAAGCAATACTTTGCATAGTTGCCCAGATTTCTTCCAGCTGCATTTTGACATGTTCAACAATGTTTATGTATTACCGCTTTACCGGCTTTACCTACATGCCAGGATCAAATCAATTCTTTGCAGAAAAGTCCCTTGGGATCCGTTGTCCCAGTTGCTTCCTATGTTTCCCTACACGAGTGGTAGCAACAGACATAGAAGAAACATTGTGAAATAGAGTAACAGCAAACAAGAGTAAGCACGAATACGCCGACATCATTGGAAATTCCCAGACACTTTCGGAACCCATGGGTTTCTCAATATATAGATATATAAATTATATAAATAGATAGTTTGATAGATAGATCAGATAGATGCTTTAGGAGCTTGCAACAACATTTAGTTGCAACATAGATATTTATAAGACCCCTTGTCCACAATATCAACTACACTACAAAATAGTTCAGAAGCAATAGGGAGGGTGGCAGCAGATATGGATAGGACTGTGTAAAGGTCTAAAAGAAACTGTAACTGAAAAAAAGTCTTAGTCTGAGGATGTATACTGGGGCCAATGCATATATCCTTAACTACCAGCAGTAACTTCACCTGCTGTAGTGTCAAGGATAACAGGCATGGGAGGAATTCTGCAAGTGGTAGCTGGAACGTGATGTTGGTCTTTGACTTCTTTGTCTCTTGCCTACCCTGTGTTTAGCATGTTTGTTTCAGCTTGTTGGGCCCTCACGCCTCATGTTGTGGCTGATGTTGAAGGGTGGTTTCTCTTGACTTGAGTGTTGTTGTTTTTTGTGAGCCCTCCTGTGTTGGACGTGTCAATTGAAAGGCTTGGTCCAAGGGTGTGCGGTGTGTGCACAGGATGTCCACAGGGTGTTGGATCTCTATCCCTCCCCACAAACCATCCATGGGACTGGAATAGCTACTGGAATGCGTAATGATGTTTTTTCTCACGTGAGAAAAAAGAACGGCAACAATCAATATATACTTAACCCAAGTATGACCTGTCGGACTGGTGCTCTTCGAGTCCTATCAATGGTTTGGGATAGTCCGAGCCCTTCGGGAAGGCTTTGCTGCGGGTCCCCGAAGATGTTGGACCCCGTCACGCAATGGATTTTTGGTGATGAGCGAACGGGGTGTGAACGAAAAAGAAACACTTGGGTTGAAACAGTGCCTTATCTTGCACTTCTACCTTACTGTCGATGATTAGATATCACGAAAGCCAGCCGATAGGCTAGGCTGAAGTTAGTGCTCGTAATTAGGGAGTTTGGGGGGGAGACGGGGGCAAGTGATGTAAACCACGTTAGTTTGCTGGTGTTTTTGGATTGCCAAGAAGATGATGTTTGGCGATGCAAAAGATGCAAGGTGACAGAGAGATTGCATCACGAGATATCGCGTGCATCATTACTACCAGAGAATAGTACATATATAGCTAGTCCAAAGGCAGTCTATTGCATGCCTCGTGCCAGTCTGAGACGAGTGCCATGATTTCTGGAGACCGGACGCGCAGAGCAGGCGCCCCGCCGACGGCCCAGGCCAGGTCCCTTCATGCTCTATGGAATCAACGACAAAAGCCAAATGGCAGATTGAACTCAATCCGGGGGGGCATTTCAGGATGTCCTAGAAATTTTCCATCGAATCATTTTACTGTACTATTTTTGATTCATGTTCACACCAATACCACCTCACCCCTTTCCCACCTCAATTTCCACCGCGCCCTGTTCTGTCTTGTATGCACCTCAGAATACACATACATGGCGCCTGACGGAGTCTCAACCACGGAGCCGGGGTCAACCCAAGCAAGTGGCCCCTCCATCCGCCAACCATTTTCAGATCAGATAGTGCCTTGTCCCACCAGGAAGAGTTGCAGCAGCTTACGGAACATGGCTGAAAGAGTTATGTGCACACACATATGTATATACGACAAGCCTAATTTATACATTTATTTATAGATATGTATTTATATATAGAACATGCCTCGTACCAGTCACTTGCGGAGATGAGTGCTATATGTTTCCCCAAGACCACTGCTTTCCGTTTCAATACCTTGTTTTGACATTTCAGCATTCAATACCTTTGTTTCAACAGCGTCCCAGGATCTTTCGTTCGGAAACGTTCTCTCGAGCCGTGATTGACGTGTTTGATCCGTGTTGTTTTTGGTGTTCAAGCTTCCAGGGTGTGGGTGCGTATGCCGCCGTGCCATAGCTGCGGTAGACGCTTCCAGGTGGAGGAAGGAGGTTTGTGTCGAGCGTGTATCGCTTTGAGGAGGTTCAGTCCCCATTGTTTGCTGGAGTCCCAGATTACCACCCAAGTGATTGAGAGCGCCCTCAGGTCCCTTGAGATCCTTCGTGACCTTTGTCACGCCGCTGCCGACCGAGGTGAAATCGGTGAAGGGCCGGTTCCTGGCCTAAGGTCCATTCGAGATAGCAACTCACGTTCAGAACGACCTGAGGTGCCGCCTGCTCGTACACCTCCTGTTTGCCCTCCTCCTCCACCTAAGAAGCCTGAAGGAGAGAGCAGTCAGGGTGAGCCAGTTGAGCGAGGACGAGAGAAGGCGAGGAAGCGGCGGAGAGAAGAGGAGGACGATGGCGATAGAGATCGCAGAAGGCGCAGAGGCTGGTTTGAGCAGAAGAGATGGGCCACAGTTCATTGGGAGGTTCCGGATTGAGGATCCCTTCTCATGGGACTCATTGATTTTGGCTCCAGGACAGGTGTTGGTTGGAGAGGTAAAGATAGAAGATACGTCATCACTGCCCCCCCTCTTCATCACCACTATTTGGGAATGTATGTGGCAATGGGTCGCAAGCCTTCTTCTTTTTCTTATTCTTGCCCAGCAGAGCGGACCTTAGTGCGTCCAGCTTGTCCTTTCCCTTCTTCTTCTTTTTCTTCTCTGAGCTCTGGCTCTTCCCACCTGCTACAGCGCTGGCTGCTGCTACTAACTCCTCTCGCGCTCTCTTGATGCTCCTTATGCTCGAGGTACCATCTTTTGGCACCGGATCGCCCTTCATTCAGACCAATTTGGCTATAAAGTGCGCGGCCCATCTATCTTCTCCTCGCAGAGTCTCAAGGCCTTGGCTTTGACCCACTGCTGGCCCCAGCCAAATCTAATCCTCTCTCCTCGGCAGCCGCGCTCTCTTTTAGGGACGACGGGGGTCTGCCTGGTCCTCGAAGCTGACATGACCTCTGCTCAACCCTTCTCCAAGCAGCATCGACCTTTCTCGAAACGGCTCTTCTCGACCACGCTGCCTCTCCACCTCCTCTCCTCAAGCCTCCTAAGGTCAACTCCTCTGCATGGTCCTCTGCTCCAGCCTCTGCCTCCCTCTCGGCACTCACAGCCAGGACGTCTACGCCCAAATGCTCCTGACACAACGCAGCCCAACGCCGAGCGCCACTGTGGCCTTGTCCAATCTCTGATCCTGGAAAAAAGGAAATTTCATTTGAAAGGGTGTTTGAAGGCCATGGGGTGTTCAATGCCGCTGGCCTTGGTGGACCCAGTCCAAACCACTGGTCCTGGTGCCTTGCTTTGGAAACATGCTGGGCAACATTGCCCTCTCCGCACATAAACTTGACGCTGGAGGCTACCAAGCAAAATATATTGTACGTCGCGCCCTTTTAAATAATCAATTCTTTGTATGATACAAAGAATTGTAATATAAATACGATGTACTTAACGCTCTTGTTCTTTTCCGGTTGTTCCCATATTTTTATTTTTTTTCGTAAAACGGATGATTCGCTGGGCCTGCGCAGCCCGTGCGAACGTCAAGTAGCTTTGTGTTTGGTTGTCTTCGGCGAACTTCGGCGACTTCGGACCATGGCGCTGCGTGCAGTGGAACACTTGTCTGAGCAGCGGCCTTAATCCGCCGCAATGTTTTCAATTGAGGTTTCAAGGGGCAGTGACATTCCTTTTAGGTCGGAGATCGATGAAGCACCCGCGAAGAAAGGTCAGAAAACTGTCCGAAAGAAGGTGCTTTTGATTTCTCGTTTTGTCGATTTGCCTCTAGAGCTTTTGTGTCATCACGCGCTATCCCCTGGTCAGTGTCTGTGTGCATGTTGGCAGGTTGCTGGCAAGAAGACCAGCAATGTTGATGGCCAGTACTCGGGGCAGTTGACTTTGTCGAAGCTGAAGACGAAGACCCTTCCCAAGTTTGCTTCTTGCACTGATAGGAAGACGATAAAGGTTTTGAAGCAAGACTTGAAGAAGTGCAAGCCTTTGAGTTTGGAAGTGGCCAGGGCCTTGTTTTGATCGGTGTTCATGGTTTTTTTGCAAGGCGTCTTTGCAAATCAGGTCACTGGGCCTCAGGCCAAAGGTAAGCAGAAGGCAAATGGAGCAGTCTTGTTCAGCGGCAAAAAGGTTTTCCGATCTTGGTCCACCATCCGTCCAAGCCTCATGGTTTCTTGTTGGTTGAGATGTGTTTGCCCTTAGGCTGCAGTTGTTTGAATGGTTGTGGGTGTGGACATGCTTGTGTGATGAGGTTAAGGTTGCGGTTGAGATTGAGGTTCAAGTTGGGTTGAGGTTCAGGTTGTGAAATTGAGGTTGACGAAGTGCAGGTTTCTGATACTTACTACCGTTACTGCTGAGGCTGTTTTAGTGGCACCACTACGGCCAACGGCAACCCTTCTGAGCGCGGAATCAGTGCCGGGCATCACAGTGTTTTTTGGGGACTTCGATAGAGTCACATTCAACTATGAATCTGGCTTCTGAGGACCTTGGCAACCAGATCCTGCACTCGCGTTTGTACCAGAAGGAAATGAAGGACTTGCGCTTGACTCCTGGGAAGTATCTCACAGCCGAGACTGCAGAGTGGTTTTCAGGACCGATGGAGTGATATTGGCTGCAAAATTCTGCACCAGTTTTTTCCCAGAAATTATTGTTACGTGGTTTCGTTGTTTTCTTTTTGCAGGACTTCCCAGGAATTGGACGAAGCCAGTTGGAGATTGCGTTGACAAAGACATTTTCCAGCAGATGTTTCCCCATGCGTTGACCGGGGAGGCCAGGCCTAGATCGGAACAATTTGGTTTCCCCATCTGTTCGTGCCATGCAGGATGGCAAGGCGCCCGTTGTGAGTCTCTTCACTGGAGTTGGAGGTCTTGAGCTGGCTTTCTCAAAGTGTTCAGCTCAGTTCTTTGGTTTCTGCGTGGAATTCTCCTGGTCATTGTGTTGAAGTGTGTTGAGTTTCACTTCATATGTCACTACCGAGCTCTGATGTTTGTCTCTGGCAGTGCCAGCTTTTTGTGCTTCAAACAGGAACGGCTCCAAATGTTGATTTTACCAACATGGGTGCACACTATGGTGTCTATTTTTTGTTGTGCTCAGCTCATTCATAGTGAGATGCATTCGGAATTCATTTAGCAGTTGCGTTGGCTGGGGTATGGCGAATTCCGATGGCAGCTTTGCTGTGGTACGATGCGTGGGTGTCAATCAAATAAGGCCAGTTATCGTTTATGATGTTGGTGCCGGGTTCACTTTCAGTATTGATTGCTTTCTGTCCTGCTGCATGTGCCGCAGGGTACCGAAGGGAACACCAATCATCACAATGTGGCGCGGTGAGCAGTTTGTCCCTCAGCGAGATTGTTTTGTTTCAATCAAAATTCAACAGAATTGTTGACTGACACTGTCAGGTGGTCATGGAGTTGGGAATCTAAATGCTGGACAGTCCATGGAAGCAAAGTCGGCACAGATGCGACCCTGACTGTTCCACAAGCCCCGCTTCAGCCAGTCTAGAGCTCAAGCCATGCGCAGCCATCGGTATAGCATCCTTCATCTCTGCCCACTTTTCTTGGTTGATTTCATTAGGCTACAACCGCGAACCAGCCAGCCGAGAAGAAACCACGCCTACAAGACTTAGACTTGCTACAAGACTTGCAGAACTAGAATCTGTGAAAACAATGAGCTTTGAGCGTTGCAGTTGGTGTGGATGTTGCAAGAGTCATTTGGAGGTTTCAATTTCAAAGCGCATTTAACTTCGAGTTCGCCTCAGATCTAAAAATTATGAGACATCAGCCACTTGAAGCTCAGGTGGATGTACCCTGTGGCAATGGCGCTTCCCTCAGCAGGATTTTTCCAAGCCAAGTCAAAACTTGGGTGATGTAGGTCTAGTTTCAGAATGTGTCAGATGTGCCAATCTTTTATTTTTAGGTGGAGCGGGACAGTTTCTGCTCGCAGATTCTTGCTCTTCGCATTCGTGACGGGTTGCTTCACAGAAGCATTCTTGGGGATGATGTCACAACTTTCAAAGCTTCGCAAGTCCATGCATCTGGCTGTGGCGGTGGCTTCCCATGCCAGGCTGGACAGCTTCATTTCTTACTTCATTGTATTTTGCAGCATCTTATTGTTTTTTCGACAGAGGGATTCCTTTCTCATTCGCTTCGCTTCGCAGGGCATATCCCAGGCCGGGTCACAGTTGGGCATGGCAGATCGCCGCAGCTGCCTCTTGAAGCATTGCTTTAGAATCTTCGATACCTTGACCGATCCGCAGCTCAGTTGCATGTTCGAAGTTGGAACAACCAGGTGGCACCTTTCCTGTCGTTTGGAAGG